TGACTGTCTTTGAACTGGTTGTTATTGTTGGTGGTTTGGTTCTATTTCTGTTTCATTCACCTGTAACTACAATACCTAAATTACTATAGAAATTTAATGTTTTTGGAGGCTTAATTTAGGCCCTGTTTATTCATAGTGTCTTTCCCTGCTTTTCTAGTTCATAGAAAGCATAACTAATTTTTAAAAATTAATATATGCAAGTATTATCTCGCATAGCATGGTCCTACCCTCAGTAAAAACATTTGTTTCCATGGGGTCACTTGTTACTAATTGCTAGCAACTTTCTTCAGTTTTAACAAGGATCTTTAATTGTAAAATTGAAAATTTGAGGAAGCTATAATAAAGCCATTATGCTCAGGTTTATAAGATTCTAGGAAATAACATCCTTAATCTGAACTGCTCCCAAAGTGGAAACTTTTAATGATTTAGGTTTTGGATTAGGTATGCTCAAGTGATAAAGCATATGCAAATATAAAATCCAACAGACTATATTGTTCCTAAGCATTTATGGTTAAAGACATTGAACTTATATTATGTTTAGGTTAGTAATTCTCAAGCCTGGTGAATTGGGGTGCCATCTTCAATAATGGAAGTGCCCAAGATACTGTTCAGCCACTTGATATTTAAGTAATATTCTAATTAACAATGTTTGATACAAGAACAAAAGCAAAGAATAAGAATCATTTCAAAAATGGTGGAGCTAACAAATTAGCATGCCACAATTTAATGGATGGTTTGTTGGAAAGTACATAGTTCAGAGGTCAGACATATACATAGTGTACATAGACAACACATAGTATAATAAGTAGCATGAGTTATGTGTTCTCATGTTCTTAATTCTTTTCCTTGCTCTCCAACTTCTATAGACGGGTACAAAGGTGCTGCCAGACGGATGCTACACAAACAATGGGTTTGCTGCACTCCAGAGGAGTCCTAAGCTTAGTAAATCCCTAATCTATTATAATGGACTCAAAACAAAACTACATAGCATTTGCCCTGGAGGAACATATAATTTGTTTTTAAAGCAGACAAACCTACCATTTACCTTAGATGGAGGCTCTGTGTCATGTAATACTATTGCTATAAAAATAGACATTAAAAGTGAATAAAATTGTGAGAAACCCATAGAGAATTCTCTCCCATAAGTATGTGCTAGCCATCAGGGAACGGTTTTGCACAAAAGTATAGCAGAGAATATTAATTTACCTAGTGTTTGTTTTAATCTGTAGCATCGGCAAACATGCTGGGGCAAATAAGTCAATACCACATAGGTTAACTTTAGTACTGGAAACTGAACTTCACCATCTACTGAATGACAAATACTGTGGAAAACCTGAAGCAGAAGGTATCACCCACGCCTTTCAGTTCATCAGATGATAAGCTGCTCACAGAGTCCTGAAACTTTATGCAGCCCACCTAGCTTCTTAGTGTTCCCTGGAACTAATTATGTAATGAAAGATTATAAAGTGAACTCTGAATTGTTCCTTCTCATCTTTGCCCACTTATAATCATTTTAATGGCTAAAAAGCATTACAAAATTATCTCTTGATATCCCTTTACTCAGTAAAAAGGTACTGTAAGTTGTAAAAAAACACTTTTTGTGTTTAATATTTTTTGTTTACAATAAAAAGGAACACATTTTTCCCTTGGTTAACTCCATATACAATAAAAAGTTACTCACTACTAATTACCAATAAATAAGGATCCATGATTATATGAACTGGGAAATTCTAAGTGAACTTTCACACAGTTAAAATCACAGACCAATTGTCACTGAAATTCATTCAGAATGAATGGTAATATATTTCAAGTGACCATATTAGTTTCCATTTTGTTTCAGGAAGCGATATAAATTGGTCCTGTGATTGTATTTGTAAAACTTAGATCTGTTAAGGTTAAGACATTCTATGAAAATCACTTTTAAAGTTAGCATGGAACAAATGAAATTGTAATGGACTGGAGAAATGTCATTTCTTCCTTTTGATAAGTGCAAGATATTTGTAAAGAACTGTTCTCGCTGTTTCTGTTGCTGGTTTAGAAGTATAGAGAGAATATATATATATATATATATATATATATATATATATATATATTTTCTGTTGAGAATATATATATGTTCTCAACAGAAGCAGTATCATCCCCAGGAGGTGAGTGACTGACTGGTAGTTAGAAAAAAAGAATCTTTGATAGTACAATGATTTGTGGCATAGATGAATATTACATAACATAAATAGATAAGCAATAGTTTCATGACTTTACATTTTAAGAGACATGAATATTGGGGAAAATATGTATAAAAATGTCCCACAGGTGAGGAAGGAAATGATAATGAGAAACAAATGAGAAACATGCTATAACATATTTTCAATAAATGTTGTCAGGTGGCATACAACTAAATTAAGCAACCAGATTTATTTTTGCCATCTTTGTGTTTATATTCCACATTTTTAGTCTAATCAAAATATACCATGAAAGAATTTTAATGGAACAATATCCATAAATAAATTTTCATGTTTTCATTTAATTTATGGAAACCATAAATAGATGCCATTTTGTATTCCGTTCTTTTCACTTGTTTACACATACTCAAGTTTATGCGGTATTTATAATTACCATATTCGCAAGACCACAGAAAATTCACTTGCATTGTTACTCTCTTATTCTTTAGATGTGAAAATTTCTTCTCTATCTTCATACTTCTCCTTTTGCTGACTTCTAATTAAATGTTGCAGTTCAGAGGCTGAGGAGAAAGAACACTTGGTGGGTAGAAGTGCTTTCTGTGAAAGTGAAAGCAAGCAGACCTGAGTTTGAATCCACAGCATTCATATCACTCCATCCACAGTAAATTGTCTAGAATCCCAGTACTCTTGCGCTGATGTGGGAAGCAGAGATGATAGGCAAATCCCCCAGAGCTCTAGTGACAGCAAGCCTCGAGTTAAAGCAGGTCAAGGAACAACAAAGCGAATTTGTCTCCAATAAAGTAGAAAGTGACTGACACTTGAGGTTCTGCTCTGGCTTGCATATGTGTGCTGTGGCATGCACGCACTCATCCTTCCACGTGCACACAGAACTGGACACTTCACATAAGTCCTCGGATTTTCTTAAACCTCTTTACTCCTGATCATCCAGACTCCTTTCCTGCTTAACCTTCTCTGCCCTGAGCCAAGGCTTAGTGATTCTATTGATAATTTCAAAATGCAAATCCTCGCCATTCCTTCTTCTCTTGTTTTTTGTTACTTAGACAAATAGGTTATGTTCTTAGACATTTTTCTGCCTCCTGTTTTGCCACAAAACTCAAGTTTGATCATGTAATATGGCTTCCCATTGCTTTTAATTGTACTACCCAATATGGTGGCTATTGAACACCTGAATTCCAGCTAATCAGAATTGAAGTGTACAAAAGGAAATATGCACTAGATCTCTAATATTTGGCCTGATAAAAAAGTATGTTGAGTATCTCATTATTTTTTAAATATATTTTCTTTAATATGAATGATTTGGTTTCATATTTAGGTCCCATTACATAACATCTGGGTGATGTCTTGGTTTTCTTATTCCTATCTGAAAAGGTATAAGAAACTTACAACATCTAACATAAAATTTAAATATCCTAGCCATATTCCATCTATATCAAGCTATTTAACTACTTTGTTCCTCTTTTCTTTCTTTTGGAAATATTGAGTGATAAAACAAATATGTCATTCATCTTAATGTTTCAAAAGCACGGCCCTCTTTCTCTAATCACTGGGAATATTCCCTCCAGTACATTTTCATGAGATATTGGTTCTGAGAACTTCTGTCTTTCCTTTCCATTTTCCCTCAATATCCTATCCTAGGTAGTTTATTTTAAAAGGTAAATAATCATAACATTGACGAAATTTTAAGTCAAATGAAGAGCATAGTGATTTTAGCTTGTTCTTATCCTATAAGAGGAAATTTTCCTATAATGTTGTAATACTGCCTACTTAAGACAAAGTAGGAGTTAAGTTTAACCTTAGACTGGAATGGGAGATAGTATGTTCTCCCTTGCTCTCCATTCTTTTCCTTTCCTTCCAACCTTCAAATGTCCTGTACTCCAGACTCAGAAAATTAGCTCAGAGGGCCTGCCTAGTGAGGGTTCTTTTCAGCAGTTAGGCAATTTGGCATCAAAAAGCTCAGGTCCCTGTAACTTTCCTGTCAATTGACACTTTCTTATAAATACTGTTATGAATATCAGGATTGTGCTTGATGGCCAGAGTTGTGAATGTTAAGACTAAAGTGTAATATCTTAAGTGTTGTTTCTGTTAGGGAATTCCATGAGCATCCTTTGAATACTCTCCATTCTTGTTTCTAATAGTGCTTTCCCATAAGAAAAGCCTTTAGGCATGCACCAGCATTCTAAAAAGCAAATGAGACTTTTTGGCTGATGTCTCTCAATATAAAATGTGGCCTTTCAGATGATGTGGTCACCTTTTCTTTATAGAATGTCAGCGTTTAAAAATGAGTAAAGGATATGGATTAGGTAAGAATTGAATGCAAATGTGTTTTGCAAATAGTGCCTTTTGAGATAATCGCAGATGATGGTTGAATGCTGAAGGTATTAATACAATCAGTATTTAACCTTGTGTACCTCCGCTTCATCAAATCACGCCCTGCACATTGATTGCATTAAGCCAGGTCAGTGGTTTCTTGCTTAGGAATATCTTAGAAGAATCTTAACAGGAAGGCTGCAGTAGCTGATCAGCTACTGTTTATTTGCATACTGAATATGTCATCAATAATACAAAAGACAAGGTCTTTAAGTTGAAAGAACAGTGGGATTGGCATGAATTTTGCTTAATGGTGCGTAATAAGCAAAGTAGTCTATGATGCCAGAAACTGACAGGACCCATTATGTTAAAACAGATATATGTCTTTAATTTAAGGGTATTATGTAAATCTGACAGGAATTTTTCCCCTTATTTTCCTGTAGTTTAACTTTAATTGCCATAAGATTAATTCTGATTTCTCTCGTCCTCCAGAGGGTGATGAGACCGGAGTGATGGATAATCTTCTGGAAGCCCTACAGTCAGGTGCAGCGTTTAGAGACCGCAGAAAGCGAATTCCAAGGAATCCGGGTAAGACCCACTTTAGATGCCATAGTTTGGTAAATGTGAATGTTCTACGCCAAGTTGTTCTGCCAAAAAAGGAAGAGTAAACTTTCTCAGGAAGATGTTTTGTCTCACTTGATCTCAGTTGGTATGTGGAATCTGGGTAAGGCACTAGTGTAATAAGTTTACAAGTTTTAACCCTATAAATGTATCTTAAAATAATCATGCGTTTTGAAAAACTCAGAAATAAGGACTCCCACTGTGTTTAATATTAAATATTTTAATTGTTGTTTTATGAGCATGAGGCTTGGGTAGAAGGTGATTAAAAACCATAAATGTAATTAGCTTGTTTCTACAGTTCATTTTTTGGTTTTCACTATAGTATCGTGGGAAAAATCGCCACGATCCTCAAAAATCAAAAAATCATGGAATAATTGTTTTTTGGTTGTGGTGCTTTTTTGTTTTTTTCCTTTTGTATTTTATTAGCAACAGATAAAGGTATGCTATAAAACTGGTCTCAGTGTGGACATACATAAATGAAGTAAGACAAGTGGGACTAGACAGTCATCCTTCTGTGTTCAGTGTGGGTAGGGTAAATAGTAACTCCTCTAGGGTAACCCAGATCAGTTTATCTTAGCACTTCCTCATATGTTTCCTTCATATCTTTCTTGATCTCAAAAAAGAAAGTAGGCATATTGATTTTGTTTCCCCTTCATGAGCTATAAAGCTATTTGGATAAGTATTGAAAAAAGAAAAATTAATACTAATTATACAAATGCTACTTAATTTAAATTACTATAATTTGACTTAACTAGCCTATATTCCCTGAAAATGTTACGTTTAAACTTAAAGTTATTGTATATTAGTGGAATAGAAATTGGTAGCCATTGAAATTTAACAATCTGGAGGAAAGTGTGGTACTCAGTACTGAGTGGTAGTCAGTACTGAGTTGTCCATAAAAGCTTTGGGCACTAGTGAAATTCATAGCTGAAGCCCATTAAGTTATATTTATCTTCTTCCCATTTGGGTAAATTTCTTATTTAGATAATGGTTAATGTTCCATTTAGCCCTTCATGGAAAGCTTATAGAGATTAGCTTAAAGTCAAGGTTTGAGAGGAAAAAAGCATTTTTATTGGAAGGGGAGACTACTTTATGTATATAAAGTCACTAAAAATACTCTCTAATGGTTATGTGAAACTTCAGAAAACAATTTTTTAAATATGTGTATTTATGTTCATAATAAAAATTTTTAAGTAATATTTTATGGCAGAAGGCTAAGAGAAATGTCTCCCGACACATAGGAAGCAGTCATTCCTTCATCTTTCATCCCTGTGTAAACTGGCAAGTGTCTACATGCCATCAAAGGTTCCTTCCATCCATTAAGAGTAACACTAACAATAGTAGTTGGGGAAAGGCAAACTGAAATAATTTTTTTAATCAGTATATTTCTCTGCTAAGAAATTTAATAAAGTTCTTAAATTAAAGCATGTTATTCTGGACCATTCAAAAAGAAGATGTCATTATCTTCTAGTCTGTATATTCTGAACATATTCATTTGTTAAAGCCCCTGTTTGATAAGTCTCATATCTCTTACTGACTCCACAGAGCCTATATGAGACAGAGTGGTCATTCAATGGGTTTTCTGTACATTTGATGCTCAAGGTATTCTAGTGTTGTCAACTGTGAAACACCAGGAGTATCCTCATAAACACTATAATTATATTAATTGTGATGTCCTTTGGTTTAGAGCTAGATTGCCCCATAAGCAAATGAAGTTTAAAAAAAAATTGTCCATTTAGCTCTCTGGTAGTCATTCCCAGAGGCAACAGCCACAGCAGACATCCTGCATCCTGAGTTAAAAAGAAAATGGGAGGGGGGGTGCAATCGGAGGGAGGGAAGATGAGAGAGAAAATGCATCATAAGCCAACAACAAAAAAAAAAAAGAAGAAGAAGAAACTTCCTCTTTATGGAAGCAAAGCTAGAGACTTCTACAGGTTTTTACCTGTCTTTCCTTCCTGAGCTAGATCACCTTTGCCTGCCAATTACATGGTTTCTTAGGTGCGTGGTTTGGTTCCATTCCAGTATCACTTTGATTTGATATCTTCAAAATTTCCCCCACTCTACACTGGAATTCTTAGAAATTTAGCATAACTGCCATTTCAATGTGATAAGATAAAAGCAGAAAAGCAAAATTATGAAGTGTTGATAAACTATATTAGTTGCCTAAATTACCAGTCTTCAACATGGAACCTCTTATCAGCCATACAGAGAGACACCCAAAGAGCATCATAGGCAAATAAGAAGGCATTCCCAACTATTGCCTCTGATTCAGTTAACTGAGTGTACCTGAGTATGCCATTTTTGTTTGGAACACTATTTTAGTTTGCTTTCTGTTGCTATGATAACACCATGGTTGCCAGGTGGTGATGGCCACAGCTTTAACCCCAGTACTCAGGAGGCAGAACCAGAGCAAGATCCAGGACAGGAACCAAAACTATACAGAGAAAGTCTCGGGGAAAGAAAAAAAAAAACACCATGATCAAAAGTAACTTGGGAAGGAGAAGCTTTATTTCCGCTTAAATATTACAGTTAATCACCAAAGGAACCCGAAACAGGAACTCAAGGCAGGAACCAGGAGCCTGACCAGGGGTTGGCACCTCCCACAGTGGCCTGAACACTCATATCAATTAGAAATCAAGGAAATGCCCCACAAACATGACCACAGGCCAATTTGACTATGTGGCAATCTCCCAATTGTGACTCTCAAATAATATTTGCCTATGTCAAGTTGACAGCTGAATCAGGGTAGATTCTCATATCACAAATGTTACTAAAAAATATCAATAAATAGTATGATGTAAGCTCCAACAAGTCAGAATGCACAAAAGCAACAGATAACTACATGGGTTGTACTGATACCCACTGACTGAATAGTAACCTATGTCACAGGATTTGCTAATATCAAGCTCAGGTTGGGAAATGAATCCTAAATATTCATTAATTTGTTGTATATCTATTCCATGAAAAGTACTGTGGCGGATATGATAGAAGATACATAAATAATTAAGATAAGATTCCCTTAGTTATAAAACCCTTGTATCTTCTATGAAAGATAAACAGCACAGAAAGATTACAGAATAATACAAAACATATTAGGTATTAAACAAGAAGTGTTAATAACATACTGTCTGGGGCCTGAAGAGATGGCTCAGTGGTTAAGAGCACTGGCTGCTCTTCCAGAGGTCCTGAGCTCAATTCCCAGCAACGTGATGGTGGCTCACAACCTTCTATAATGGGATCTTATACCTTCTTCTGGCCTAAAGTTGTACATGCAGATAGAGCACTCATATTCATAAAATAAATAAATGAATCTTTAAAAAAACAACATACTATGTAAATGCAGAGGAAGAAAATAGCATGACTTATTGGATATATCAGGAAAATAATCATAGAAAAAAGTATTGAAGGTGAAGGTCATGGAGGTTAGAGTCATGGCTGAAGTAAAATGAAATGTCATAAAGAAAAACATGGAAATAAGAAACAGCAAAGCCTTTTTCACAATAGCAAACAATGTAGTATTGAAGCCAGATAGGATATAAAAAGCATAAAAATAGGGAGAAACTCTAAAAAATAAGTTAGTGACACATTAACACATTATGAAGTGCTGGAGTTAGAGACTAATGTAGTAACCTGAAATT